TATCCATACTCCTAGAAGGAAGACCAGTAATACTACTATTATTCAAATTTACGCACCAACCACCAAAGCCAAAGATGAGGAAATTGAAGACTTTTACCAACTTCTATGGCCTGACATTGACCAAACATACCAAAATGAAGCATACCAAAAGGAGGCCTAGAAATTTAAAATAACCTAGTATTAAATGGTTCTTGAGTAAAACAGGAAGTACAAAGAGACATGATAGTATTTCTGATAAATAATAATAATGAAACCACTACATATCAGAATCTATAGGATATTTTTAAAGAAGTTATCAAAGGAAAATTTATATTCCTGAACATGTGTCAATAAAAATAAAAGACTGAAAATAAATTAATAAATTCTCAGTTCATAAGCCTAGAAATAGAAAACAAAAGGAAGGAAATAAAGATAAAAACAGAAAATAATAAGGTAGAGAACAGAAAAATAGATCAAACTAGTCAATTTAATCTAATTTTTTTTAAAAAAATCAATAAAATAAATAAATCCTTTGACCTTTAATCAAGGAAAAAAAAGTGAAAAGCACATGCAAAATAAATGATAGGAGACAAGTAAGTATTGATACAAGGGAGATGTTAAAACTACTCTTTACATTTTTGTGCAAATAAATTTTAAAACCAAGATTAAATGGATGTTATCTTAGGAGGAAAATACAGTGTACCAAAACTGACCCCAGTAGACAAAGATATGGGTAAATGAGAGCACTTGTGCATTGCTGCTGAAGATATAAAATGGTGCAGCCACTGTGGAAAACAGTTTGGCAATTACTCAAAAAGTTAAATATAGAATTATCATTTTATTATTAGCTGCCTTTGAGTGATTGACTCATGTTGACCCCATATGCAGTAGAAAGAAATGCTGCCTCTCACAGTTCCACTCCTAGGTATATGTCGAAAGTAACAACCACGGTGTTCACTGAAACATTATTCACAAAAGGGGAGGACAATCCAAGTGCCCATCAGTGGATGAATGGATAAACAAAATGGAATATTTGCATTCAATAGAGTATTATTTCTCCGTAATAAGAAATGAAGTTCTGACACATGCTATCACATGGATGAACTTTGAAATCATTATGCTGAGTGAGATAATTTAGACACAAAAGAACAAACAGTGTATGATCTTACTATTAAATATCTAGAATAGGCAGATCACCAGGACAAAAGATTTGTGGTTACTATGAATTGGGAGGATAGATAGATGTGGAGCTTAAGGGTGAGTTGTGGGGGGATCTGATCTGACCCCTCCTTGGGTTTCTGAGGCAGTATCTTTATGGAAATAGATTGCCCAGTCTTCCTTCCTAGGAGTGGCTGCTGGGCTTGAGCCACCAGCCTTCTGGTTAGCAGTCAAATGCCTCAGTCACTATGCCACCAGAACTTCCTTTTTATTTTTTATTTTTTGGGTGAACTGGGAGGAGATAGATGTGGAGCTTAAGGGGTGGGTTGTGGGGTGATCTGACCCCAATAAAGATAGAAAGTATGAACAGACCAATTTAAATCAAAGAAATACTACCCGTATAAAAGCACCAGGCCCAGGTGGTTTCACAGGGGAATGCTACTAAAAGTCAAAAAAACAGGCCCAGTGTTAGAAAAATTGTTTCAAAGCATAGAAATTGTAGGAAAATTTCCATATTCTTCTTTTTAAGCATGTATAAATATTAGTACCTAAACCTGGTAAAGATGTTGTTATTTGCCGTCGAGTCAGACCCGACTCATAGTGACCCCTCCTTGGGTTTCTGAGGCAGTTTCACTATGGAAGTAGATTGCCCCATCTACCTTCCGAGGAGTGGCTGGTGGGTTTGAACCGCCAGCCTTCTGGTTAGCAGTAAAGTGCCTTAGGCACTATGCTACCAGAGCTCCCAAACCTGATAAAGATAGCATATATAAAAAGAAATGACAGACCAATAATACTGTACCACCACTTTAGGAAAATAATACACCATGACCAAGTTTAAGGATGATTATTTGGAAATCCATTTATATAATTTACTAATTAATGAGTCTATCTCCATACATACTAAAAAGTCTTGGATAAAACTTAACACTCATTCCTAATTAAAAAAAAATACTCTCGAAGAAATAGTAATGAATGGATATTTCTGTAACATAATAAAATATGTGTAGACCACAGTACTAAAGCTAGCATCTTATTTACTGGGGAAATCCTAGAGGTATTTCCATTAAGGTCAGGAACAAGGCCAGGATGCCTACTATCTCCACTGCCTTTAACATTATTATGAAGGTATTGGCCAATGTGATTAAAAAGAAAACAGAGGGACAGGAATTGAAGAAATAAAACTGCAAATGATGTAAAACTTAAAGAATTAATGATAGAACTAATTTAAACTAAAAAATTCAAAGAAGCAGGATATAAAATTAAAATATAGTAACAGTAACATTCGTATACACAAATAATGATTCATAAAATGTAAATGGCATTTTCTCTTCATTATAAGAGTGAAAAAAAGAATAAAAATACTTAGGAATAAAATTCAACATGGTATGTTTGAAATCTAACTGAAGAAGACTAAGAACTTCTAAAAAACTCAAAAACATAATTGAACAAATGGAAAATTACCCCTTGTTCTTGTTTAGGATGTCCCAATATCATGAACACCAATACATTCTAAATTAACTTATAAATTTAGTGCAATCTTGACAAAAATACTGCAAGCTTTGTTACTGAGCAAGGCAAGATGATACTAATGTTCATACGGAAAATTAAAGATACAGGCTTAGGACTGGAGGAACCAGAGGGAATGGATAGTGAGTGCTAATGGACTTCTTTTTGGGGTGATGAAGATGTTCTGGAATTAAATACTAGTGATGGTACATATGCCAGAACCACAGAAAAGTACTTTAAAATGGTTAATTTTAAAGGATGTGAACTCTATTTCAATTTTAAAAATTAAGTAAATCTGATGGTGCCCAGCTACCACTGCCATCCACTTGGAAGGGATGTAGGAAATCCTGCATAAAGAGGGAGAACAATGTGGTACAAAACTCAAAATCATTTGGAGGAAAAAAAAAAAAAAAGGTGGGGACCAGGTTTGCTGGTCCAATAGAGCCTGGTGTAACCACTGAGACTATGGCCCCTAGCTGCCCTTCAGGTCTGGAATTGAACCCACAACTGTGGTTTCCAGCCAAACAAAGTACAGGCATGTGAGTTAAACATTTACCTCAAGTAGACACACGCCCTGGAGAGAACAATCATGGGAGAAGGAAGGGCTGCTTATGCACAGGGAGACAGCTCAGGGTGCAGAAGAGTATGAAGGGATGGACACTGGGAGGAGGTAACTATGGGGAGGAAGTGGGAGGGGAGCTGCTGCATTGTAAATTTTGGTCAATGACATGAGACAAAGTATATGTGAACTGCTGTATGAAAAGTGAATTTACTCTGTAAATCTTCACCCAAATCCTAATAAAAATAAATAAATAAAAATGAAGTAAATCTGAATAGAGTATGGATTATAATTGATTTTTAGAAGTGGTGGGGGAGAAAGAACTATATTCAAAATGTCAGCGTCATAAAAGACAGATTGAGAAACTATTCCAGGTTAATTTAGAGTATAGAAGTATGGTGCTAAAGGGAATATAAATCATCTGTGACTGGATCCTGTGGATCCAGTGCTGGTAGGGGAAAAAGGTTATAAAAAGGTTATTGGATCAGTGTACAAAATTGTTATAAGTATGACAGGTTAGATTAAGATTATTTTATCAATGTTAAATTTACTTTAAGAAATGTTAAGAATATATTCTTTTAGATAGTACACACTGAGGTATTTAGGGAAAAAGGAGCATGATATATGCAACTTACTCTCAATTTATGCAGAAAAAAAAAGGTATGTATGTGTACACCTA